CCCACCCCAGCAGCTCCACTCCCCACCTTCCCACCCTTGCCGTCGTATCAGTAGACCCATTTCCCATTTTCTTCTCCTCAGGCAGCCGCCCTGGATCCACCAATGATTACTATGACCTTTTTCCCATCTTTTTTATAGTCCTGGTGCATTTTAGCCTGGGTTAAGCTTGTAAAACCATGCAAGAGCAGAAAATATATTCATCAATTTACAGCTTCCCAATTTCCCTAGTTGCTTTGTTGAAAAACCCGGATGGATAGCTGACTATATATAGTACCTACAAAAACCCACAGACAACGTCCGAACAATATGCGAATTTGCAATATTAATGATGCGAAAAACCATAACAGAAACACCGAAGTACTGGCTTGCTCAAGCAAATGGAATGAAGGAGCTGTGCGGGAGGGGAGGGAGGTGCTAGACAAAGGCGAGAAAAAAAAGAACAAAACTCAACCAAAAAAAAAAAAAATACATCATAATTAGCTGGAGAGTATTAAACTGCAGTAGAAATAATAGATCCTGAAAGCTCTAAAAAGCGGCAGATTTAAGCCAATCGAAAGCAAAAGTGAAAAAAAAAATTATTTCACGTGAGCCGTATTAGAACTAAGAAACTGCTCACTTCCGAGCGGTACTGCACAAAAAATCCCATGTCGACTTACAATTCCTGCAGGCCTAGGGCATGTTTTTTCCAAATAAAATAAATGGCAACGCGCAGCAGACTAGCCGGTGCGATCATGCGTTTTGTGCAATTCAGCCGATCAAACGATTGCCTGTTAATGATTTTTCAGACTAGCCGGTGCGATAATGCGTTTTGTGCAATTCGGCCCATCGAACGATTGCCTATTAATGATTTTCATGCTTTGTACTTTAGTCTATGCAAAAATAGTTCAAACATTGGAAAATAGTTAAAAATTTCACACACCAGTGCTTTGTTCTTTAGTCTATGCAAAAATAGTTCAAACATTGGAAAACAGTTAAAAATTTCACGCACTCTTGTACCTTGTCTATGCAAAAATAGTTCAAACATTGGAAAACAGTTAAAAATTTCACGCACCAGCGTATGAAAGCTAAATAGCAAAATACAAACATTGGAAAACAGTTAAAATGATTTTCACTGCTTTGTACTTTAGTCTATGCAAAAATAGTTCAAACATTGAAAAACAGTTAAAGATTTCACTTCCTTGTACTTTAGTCTATGCAAAAATAGTTCAAACATTGAAAAACAGTTAAAAACTTTTCACTGCTTTGTACTTTAGTCTATGCAAAAATAGTTCAAACATTGAAAAATAGTTAAAAATTTCATGCACCAGTTCACTGCTTTGTGCTTTAGTCTATGCAAAAATAGTTCAAACATTGGAAAACAGTTAAAAATTTCAACAGACTAGCCGGTGCGATAATGCGTTTTGTGCAATTCGGCCCATCGAACGATTGCCTATTAATGATTTTCATGCTTTGTACTTTAGTCTATGCAAAAATAGTTCAAACATTGGAAAATGGTTACCTGTTAATGATTTTCACTGCTTCGTACTTCAGTCTATGCAAAAATAGTTCAAACATTGGAAAACATTTAAAAATTTCACGCACCTGCGCATGAAAGCAGAATTTCGAAACCTTGAAGGATGAATATCTTTCCGTGATTCCCGAGTTAATAGTTTATCCGTCAAAATTTCCATGAGGCCGTAGGTGGTAACCGAGAGCGCGAGAACGCTGAATTTGAATGGGCAAGGTTGAGCGTGAGCAGGGGGTCATTATTCTTAACTTCAGCCTTCTAGACTCCGAGGTTCCCGAGATATTAACTTACCCGTGACTTACCCGTGAAAAATTTCGAGGCCGTAGGTGGTAACCGAGAGCGCGAGAACGCTGAATTTGAATGGGCAAGGTTGGGAGTGGAGGGGTCATTATTCTTAAATTTCAGTCTTCTAGCCTCCGAGGTTCCCGAGATATTAACTTACCCGTGAATAACTTTCACGGGGCCGTACGTGTTACCCGCGGGTGAGGGAAGGCTGAATTTAAATGGGCAG